GTGTTCTGTTCATTTTAAGTGTTTGTTGTCTATTCTAAAGGTATGTGTTCTGTCCATTTTAAGTGTGTTCGTTGTCTATTCTAAAGGTATGTGTTCTGTCCATTTTAAAGTGTGTTCGTTGTCTATTCTAAAGGTATGTGTTCTGTCCATTTTAAGTGTTTGTTGTCTATTCTAAAGGTATGTGTTCTGTTCATTTTAAGTGTTTGTTGTCTATTCTAAAGGTATGTGTTCTGTTCATTTTAAGTGTTTGTTGTCTATTCTAAAGGTATGTGTTCTGTCCATTTCAAGTGTTTGTTGTCTTTTCTTAAGGTATGTGTTCTGTCCTTTTTAAGTGTGTTCGTTGTCTTTTCTAAAGGTATGTGTTCTGTCTTTTTTAAGTGTGTTCGTTGTATATTCTAAAGGTATGTGTTCTGTCCATTTTAAGTGTGTTCGTTGTCTATTCTAGAGGTATGTGTTCTGTCCATTTTAAGTGTTTGTTGTCTAATGAAATGTTGTCCACTCTAGGTGTCTATGTTGTCCACCCAGGATTTGTGTGTGCGTTTGCTGTTGACTCTAGTACTACCATGTTTGTTTATTATTTTTTCTACCTCTTACATCACTTGTTAACCAAGAAAATGTTATGCACGTTCAAACACAACTCCACCATCTTTCTGAACATAAACCTACCACCGTGACGTCATTAGCCGGGGGTGCGGTAACTCATGGTATCGACCCCCCACCCCCTATCCAAAATTTCTTGCTTGACTTCCGTGCCACCCACAAGATCCTACTATTTTTATACATTTTTCCTCGATAAATATCTTTATCTTATCCGGAGATACTTGAGTTTTTCTGTTTCGTGTCACTCTAAAATAGTATCACCTAGTGTTGACCGCCTTCCCCACCACTCACAGTATGCGTCCAGAGTTTCTTCCAGGCATCTCTTCGGGGAGGGGAGGGGGGGAGCACCCCCACTCCCCCCCCCCCCCGAAGAAAGTCTACCGCCCCCCGAACGAAATGGAATTGATATAGAAAATATATACTTTTAACGGTGTCCGCACCCCCCCCCCCCGAAAATGTTGACCCCCCCCCCGAAAATATTAAGTGCCCCCCCCCCCCCCGGAGAAAAAAGTCTGGAAGAAACACTGTATGCGTCTACAGCAAGTCCACTCACACACACACACGTTATTTCTTACCGTTAAAATGTAATCTTCTTATCATCATTTTCTTCTTCTTCGTTCTTAATTCTAGTATTGGGAGGTATTTCCTCCAACACAATTAATTACACGTGTCAACTGGTTATGCGCCATTGAGGCCATTGACTCCGATTTCAGCCTGCTTTTCTTTCTGGATATGCTTCCATAGCCTTTGTCCAACCAAGAACAAACTAATAGGCAGCAGTTGTTTGATTTTAGAGTTGTCTCTCATTGATAAGTGGCTTTCCAGTTATCAAGCCTCATCTGCTGGGGTACCAGAGAAAACTCTACTGCAACTATAGAAAAGATAAAATCAATTTAATATTAATATTTAAATTGTCTTACTAGAAATTAAATTATTGAAACAAATGAACAAAACTTTGACATGAGTCGATAGGGACATCTTAACCACCTGGGGTACCAAAGAAAAGTGTGTTTAAAACTCTAGTGCAATTATAGAAAAGATAAAATCAATTTAATATTAATATTTAAATTATCTTACTAGATATTAAATTATTGAAACAAATAAACAGAACTTTGACATGAGTCGATAGGGACATCTTAACCACCTGGTGTACGTCGAGATAATTAGGCCAAATTGAACATCAGTCAGAGTCGTAGCGACCCCTCCCGGCGCCCGGGGACACACTTTCAATTTGGCGCCCCCCCCCCCCCATATATTTTTTATGTTTATAATTCAAATAGACAGCTAAAATGAGCTTTTGATTTTGTTTTTCAAACCCATTTTGGCGCCCCTAGGGTCGACGCCCGGGGACATATGTACCCACCCGCCCCCAGCGGTAGATACTGTTAAAATGTCATTCTTTGTGATACATAAAAAAAATTTTCGTTTATTTATTTAGTCCCACCTCATACAACTTCTTAAAAAATAATAAACAGTTACGGGAAAAACCCTCGATACTATCTCACGTGCTGTTTCTCACCGCTGGTTGTAGGACTCAATATGTCGATATGTACCACTCAACTACTGTCATGTATCTCAAACACTCGCCTCGTTCAGTCTTGTAGGTCAGATCCTAAGAAATTCAACCTACTGCTGGTTGGACAAAGGTACAAGCCACGCGTTTAGAACGTGGCCTTTTGCAAACAAGTTAAACAAAAGCGTTCTTTGTTGAAATATATCATGTCACTTTCGCTGATGTATCGTATTTGGCTATGTGTTGAATGTACTTTCTTGAAGTATTTAATCGTGTCATTTTTTTACAATTTGTCACGATTCTTGTTATTGATTGAACGAACTGTAGATATTTGTATTACAATTTTAGGTTGTCCGGACAATTGCTGAAGTTCGATACTCAGGTTCGAGTCCGAATGAGGCTCACTCAGCTCCGATAGGTACCTGGCATAAGTTGGGAGAAATTCAAGGCGACTGGGCACATAGCTCACCACGAAATCCCATCTCTTGGCGTTAACAGAGAAGCAGAACTCTACTTCATCTGGTGTTTTTTTTTTGGGTCCGATAGGTCTGAAATTGAACTTAGGCGTAGCGACCCTTCCCGGCTTAGAACTCGAGAATTTTTCGAATTTTAACAACCGACTCGACCAAGCTTCCAACACAATTAAGTATACGTGTCAACTGGTTATGCGCCATTAAGGCCATTGACTCCGATTTCAGCCTGCTTTTCTTTTTGGATTTGCTTCCAACCAAGAAAAAACTACAAGGAAGAAGTTGATTTTATTTTGGAATTATCTCTCCCAGAGGCGTAACGACCCTACCTGGCGCCCGGGAACAAACTTTCAATTTGGCGCTCCCTCGGGAGCAAATTTTCAATTTGCGCCCCCTCAACTTTTCGATTTGCACCCCCCGCCCTCAACTTTCCGGAATTGCACCCCCCCCTTAACTTTTCGATTTGCACCCCCTCAAACTTTCGATTTGCACCCCCCTCAAACTGCAAAAATGGCAGCAAAATTGACATTTTAATTTGGGTTTTCCAACCCATTTTGGCGCCCCCTAAGGTCGGCGCCCGGGGACATATGTCTTGACTACACAGTTACTTCCCTTTAAAAAATCATTAAATCGAGGGAAGTAATAATTTACTTTTCATTAATTTGTTTTGGTGTTAAGAAAAAAATAATTACATAATTAGCGGGGATTGATTAAGTGCAGTGTCGTTGGTATTTTTAATACTGCCTTTTATTTATTCTATACACTGAACATACTGTTCACTAATTATTTTTTAAAATCAATAGCATTTAATAAGCCATGTCCTACAAATCCTATATGTGTATTTCTTTCCATTTACGGATAAGCTTGGAGTATTATAATTTTGTTCACTAAATTGAAACAGGCGCGTCCGCCGGCGCCCCTGCACGGTTCAATTTGGCGCCCTGGGCTATCATGTGAGCGCTATGCTGCATAATTTTGTTTTAAACAGTGCGATAGACTATGGATAAGAAAGGTTACTACAGTCTTTAAGTGAATCAAATCCGGGCGTCCTCCGGCACCCCGACAGGGTGCTATTTGGCGCCCCGGGCCTTCCCGTGTTCGCTATGGTACCTACGTTCGAGTAAGTGAGTTCAAAAGACTATGAATAAGTTGGGTACTATAGTCGTTTACTAAGTTGAATCAGGCGGTTACGCCGCACGTCGTCATGGTGCGATTTGGCGCCCCGGGCTAGACTGTGGACACTTTGAGTTTATCTTTGCGTTTGTCTTTTATTTGTCTTTGAGTTTGGGTTTGCGTTTGTGGTTGTGTTTGGGTTTGAATTCGGGTTTGGGCTTGTTTTCGTTTGCTTTGTTTCTTTGCGTTTGTGTTTTCTTTATGTTTGTGTTTGTGATTGTGTTTGTGTTTGCGTTTGTTTTTGTATTTGCGTTTGTGTTATGTTTGCGTTGTTGTTTTTTTGTGTGTTTTGGTTTTGTTTGGTTGTGGTTGGGTTTGTGTTTGCGTTTGGATTTGTTTTTGTTTGCTTTTTTGTTTGCGTTAGTGTTTGTGTTTTCTTTGAGTTTGTGGTTGGGTTTGTCTTTGCGTTTGTTTTTGTGTTTTCGTTTGTGTTTGTTTTGTGTTAGTGTTATGTTTGCGTTTTTTGTGTGTTTTGGTTGATTGTGGTTAGGGTGGTCAATGCCGGATAAATGCTGATTACTAAACACACAAGTTATGGTCCTTTATAGATACGTTTTTCAGAGATGCCAGTGCAGGGCCTGGCCGGGACGGCTAGTAAATACATAATTATCTCCCCTCAGCTGGACACGCATAACTGCCCGGGTGGGTAGGTTTCTCGTGTAGCTAATTTCAAATTTTATTTTAACGTTAGACTTGTTGAATGGAAATTGCTCTAAAACTTTTCATGAGGTCAATAAACGTTTACAACACAATCGAATGGTATGCCTGCTCACACATAGACACACTTAATATATACATACACATATATATATATATATATATATATATATATATATATATATATATATATATATATATATATATATATATATATATATATATATATATATATATATATATATATATATATATAAGCATTTTATATATCATTTTCCAAACGTATTTCAGTAACCAATTATATATATATATATATATATATATATATATATATATATATATATATATATATATATATATATATATATATATATATATATATATAAAGTGGTTATTGAAATACAATTTTTTGAATAATGCATACAAAATACAAATTATTTATTAACCCCCAAAATCAGCTAATGTAATCCATATTCTACTTTTTTTCATTAATGTTCATTAAATACATATACATAAAATCTGTTTTGAGAAAAAAAAATCTCCCAATCCCCCCCCCCCCCCCCCCCCCCCCCCCATGCTTCATAAACACGTCACACAGCCCCAGATAGTAAAATAGCCATCCAATAGACACAGAGGCAGAAATAGGATGGATGTCGTGTTCAATGTAAGCGGTCATCGGCTCTACAATTACGTACGCATCGACTTTCAATGTTGTTTTGTTTACTGTTCACTGTTGTAAAGTAAAGCTTGAGGTACAAGATTCATACTTGAATAGACAAAAAGTAAGTCTTTTTTTCCTCGTCAAATTAGAGAATTGTATTGTTTCAGAACCTGTTTTTGTTGGGGTGGATTTTATTTACTTTTCTTTTCGGGAATATGAATTTTTATTAGCTAGAAGCATTGGGATTTCAATGAATTGCGATGAACTATCAATGGAGATAGGACGATTGCAATTAATTTCTCAAACGCTTAGATGTATTTTCATTAGTTCTTAAGCTATAGTATCTGGGTATTAGTCACTTACTTCAGTATGAGCCTAGAATAATTAAAGAATTAAAGACTAAAATCCGAAGTTTTTGTGGACGTCATAAATGGATGACCCCTGACTCGTGTTTTATGTGATGTGAAAAAACATACCCGAAATTTAGCCCAGAAACAAAAATCTTATTTACGAGTATTCAAAAACTCATAACGGCTTCTTCACGTAGAGTAGAAGTGAATGAAATTGTAAACTAATAATATTCCGCACTGTTATACACATTTTATTTTGCGTTCACTTGGTGTGCAATTCTTTTTTCTACGAGATTCTATTTTATTTAAAAAGTGTAAGTAATTAAAAATGGATTTAAAATCATGTCTATATCCCGAGTTGCCATCCCCTGTTGTCTTCTTCTTCTTCGTTCTTAATTTTTAGTGTTGGAAGGGATCGAGCCTTATCTGCCAGAGGGTTTGAACTCGAGACTTTTTTTCGAATGTATCAACCATGACTCGACCACGCCTCCATCACAATTAAGGATACGTGTCAACTGGTTATGCGCCTTTGAGGCCATTGATTCCGATTTCAGCCTGCTTTTCTTTATGGATTTGCTTCCATATCCTTTGTCCAACCAAGAACAAACTACAAGGCAGCAGTTGTTTGATTTTGGAGTTGTCTCTCCTAGAAGAATGGCTGTCCAAAGCTAACGAGCCTCATCTGCCCGAGGGTTCGAACTCGAGACTTTTCGGTTCAGCAACCATGAGCTTTACCGACTCAACCACCCCGACCCTTATCCCCTGTTGTTTCATATTAGAATATTCGAGAAATTTTAGGTGAAATCACTCCCGGTTTATTTAAAATATTTTCCCCCCTCTTATTTTCTACATCACAGTCCGAACGACCATGCCCAGAGGATTCCTAAAGCTGGCGACCAGGACGCTGATTGTCTCAGCTCTGTTCGGCTGTGTGCTGTTCACGCACAGGAACATTCTCCAGAGGTACGTCGTCGACATCATAGCAGACGCCACTCCACCGGTCGCGGCCATCTTTAACCCGAGGAGCCTCAAGGAGATTCACACCCTGACCCAGGAGGAAAGTCTCCCGTCCACGCCAACATGTAACGGCACCGTCCACACGACAGTCAACAAAAGCTCACAGGTCCATCCAGCATGCCCGGACCTGCCTTCCACGCTGAGTAATTTCCTTTCTAAATTTACAATTAGCAATTTTTTTTTTCAAAGTAGATATAATAAATTATGGTTTAGCATGAGCTAAATAAAATACCTACGAACAGCATACGGAGTTTTTTTCCAGGCATCTCTTCGGGGAGGGGGGGGGGGGAAGAAAGTCTACCGCTAAAGAGAATATATACTTTTGACAGTGTCCGCACCCCCCACCCTGAAATTGTTATCCGCTCCCCCGAAAATTTCAAGTGCCCCCCCCCCCCCCGGAGAAAAATGTCTGGAAGAAACACTGACAGCATACGTAATAGAATTGAATGAATGAGATACCTTTTAAGGATTCTGATGAGTCGTAAGAAAAATAATTCTTTTTTTTTCTTTACTTTTTAAGCATATTTTCTGTTATGCACATTTATATATATATATAAAGAAGATTATTTTTAAAAATTGGCAACAGAAGAGGCGAAGCTATGTCTTTGGAAAGTTCTAGGCCTATATGGGATGGGTAAAATGAGACGACGGTTTGTGTTGTAAAAAAACAAGTCAGACAAATAAAGATTTGTGACATTTTTTTTAGTTTCCCTGGTGTAGCTTATATTATTTTTTTTTAATCTACTGGATGAATATTAATTTTAATTTCGAGTCTAGAAATTATTAGATAAGCCAGCACCAGAGGCGTAGCGAGAGGGGGGGACATATGTCCCCGGGCGCCGACCTTAGGGGGCGCCAAAATGGGTTGGAAAAACAAATTGAAAGTTTGAGAGGGGGTGCAAATCGAAAGTTTGAGGGGGGGGGGGGGCGCAAATCGAAAGTTTTTTTTTGGGGGGGGGGGGTTGCAAATCGAAAGTTTGAGGGGGGGTGTGATGACGCAAGATTACGTCAGACATGTTTAGCAGATATAGGTTAGCAGAAACAGACTATAGGCCTAGTTGGTTGGTTAGAGAGGCCAATGGGCGCACAGGGCTGACCGGTCACGTGGGACGGTCAGCTGACCACGGAGGCGTGGGGCAGTAGAGCGATAGGCCGGGAGTTGTGAGGTAGCGGTCAGAGACGGCCGAGAATGTAGATAGTTAGGAGATCATGATTAGCTAGTGAGGTAGAAGGTGTTAGATTGTAGAATGTAGAGAACAGTTAGTGTTAGGATTGGTCATGGGAGTGCGTAGTTAGTAGTATAATGAACAGTCAGATAGAAGTAGTACAGTGTAGATCAGTTAGGTAGAAACTTGAACATATATATCATTTTAATAAAGAACAATTATAGTTGAACTTGAACTGTGTGTTGTTGCATTCATTCGTTCCCGCCTTCCTAAAATCGCCACCCTCACAACTGGTGGAGCGCGGGTCGAGTAAGGGAAAGAACGTATATCAGCTATTCATGACGGAGTATGACTGGTGTATTGCTTTCTCTAACTCATCACAACAGCAGGTTCCTTCAGCCAGAGCGAGTTTGGATTACCAATACAAGGGAACAGTCACCATGTTCAAAAAGATAAGTACCTTCCATCATTTTTTTTAAACGTTTGGGTTTATACCCGTGCTGGATAGTTTGTGCCAGCGGTTTTTCTGCCTTACACATTCTATTGTTACGCCCTGTTGCCTTAGTTATTTTGACTTTCCTCAACACACACACATACACATACACAACCATGGAGGCAGAGTTTCAATGCTATAAACAGGGCATACCATTAGACAAAACAGGAGAAGAAGTTGAAACATTTGTAGAGAATAAGTTAAGAAACAAGATAGTCAAGATAGTAAGACATGTCAAGAACAAAAGCATAGTTAGCATTAGAATCAGTGAAACAAATAGATAACACGCAACTGCCCAAGAACATCAACCCCATGACCAGGAATTTGACCCGGACCGCCCCCATAAATGATTTTGAACAACGGACAAAAGTGAAGTCAAGTCGAGTTTTGTGTTGATCTAAAATCTAAGTAGTCGAGAAAATCGGCGTGAAGTCGATATAGTTGAAGTCGAAGTCAGTGTAGTTAAACTGAAGTCAATTGTGTTATTGAAGTCAGGGAAGTATAAGTCAGAACTGAAGTCAAAGAAGTTATTTGAAGTCAGTCAAGTCAGTCAATGTTGTTAAAGTCGTAGTTGAGGTCATAGTGACGTAGTTGAAGTCATGTTGCAGTCAAAGTGAAGTCTTTGAAGTCATATTGAAGTTGTTGAAGTCAAAGTGAAGTCTTTGAAGTCATATTGAAGTAGTTAAAGTCAAGGAAAAGTCTTTGAAGTCAAAGTGAAGACGTTTAAGTCGTCGAAGTTTAAGTCAGTCAGAGGTCTATGAAGATGAAGTCAGTCGATTTAGTTGTCGCAGTGAAGTTAGTCGTCAAAGAGAATTCAGTCGTCAAGTGAAGTCGAAGTCGGTCAGTGATGTTTATGAAGTCAGTGAAGTCAGTCGTCAGAGGAAATCAGTCGTTAATTTGAAGTCAGTCGAGTTACTGAAGTCAAAGTGAAATAAGTGAAGTTACTGAAGTCAGTTAAAGTGAAATAAGTCAAGTTACTGAAGTCATGAGTGAAGTCAGTCATTAAGTCAAGCCAGCCAGTTTTTTTTTGGTCAGAAGTCAGATAGTGAGAGCTGCTCCACTATTTGATCACGTGTTGAAATATTGATTTGAAATGGCAGAATATTATTGATATACACTCACATGTCTATTCTTTTTGTGAAGCTATTTCTAAGCTCTAGTAGTGTTTACGTCTATTGAGTTTATTAGGCTTTACAGATTGCTGTTAGATTAGAGTGTACTGATTTTTTTGTATTTGGTCATTTTTTGTAATGTTATATTTTTGTAATGTTATTTTTATATGTTGTTGTACCGCCAGACAAATGTTCAGCACGTTTAAATTTGGGTTTGAGGTTTTTTTAAATGGAAGGTACCTCTGTCTGAATACTTGTCTGCGCGGGCACTAAGATAGTCACGTAAAACCATTGCTCATGGTCTCGTAATACAATTTCAGACCCACCAGCGCTATTCAGAATGAGACGAGATGAAGCCGACACTTCAAAGAGTGCCGCCACCTGAAGCCCTGATTACGTTGAATTACCTGGACAGCGGACAGCCCTGCTGAACAGAGAATTGCCCTGGTCAAGATAGCGGACGCATCGACACCGCTTCGCACCCGCACTGGGGTTGAATAACAGACCGCCAGCTACGTACACCTACGTCGGCACATACAAAGGGTAGACGACCCATCGTCCAAGTTCCCAGCGTCGGAACGTTACGTCATTGTTCGCCACCGCATCAGACAGCTCCAGTTCATCGCATAACCACTCTACGTGGACGTCTCAACCAGCGTTGAGTTTGTTGCGTCATCACATTGACCAACGAAAGTTACGCCTACACCCGCCTCACGGGAATTTACATCAAAATTCGCCACAACCCACCCACCACAGAGGAACGCCAGCAATTACATAACACTTACACGTACACTTACACTGCTCGCAGAGACCGTTCAACCATTTACACATTCTACTAAGATTAGCTCAAGGCCAGTACACGACAACCTAGCCAGAACTTGAGTTGCACATGATTGAATTCACGCATACCATGAAACATAGACATACATTATCAAGCAGAGACACCACAGACGTCAGGATACCTACACAAGAACGAAAACAATGACATTTTTTTTCAAGAACACAGACACAAGATTTTATTTTTTTGTAAACTGTGCTGTCCCATTTTGTATTTGATTTACATGATTGATGTTAGGGATAGAATAGAGTAGTAAGATAGATAGTTGTTGATGTATTAGATTAGTAGTAGACGCTGAAAAATATAATTTGTCAGCTACAGAAAGGGAGGGAGATATGTGATGACGCAAGATTACGTCAGACATGTTTAGCAGATATAGGTTAGCAGAAACAGACTATAGGCCTAGTTGGTTGGTTAGAGAGGCCAATGGGCGCACAGGGCTGACCGGTCACGTGGGACGGTCAGCTGACCACGGAGGCGTGGGGCAGTAGAGCGATAGGCCGGGAGTTGTGAGGTAGCGGTCAGAGACGGCCGAGAATGTAGATAGTTAGGAGATCATGATTAGCTAGTGAGGTAGAAGGTGTTAGATTGTAGAATGTAGAGAACAGTTAGTGTTAGGATTGGTCATGGGAGTGCGTAGTTAGTAGTATAATGAACAGTCAGATAGAAGTAGTACAGTGTAGATCAGTTAGGTAGAAACTTGAACATATATATCATTTTAATAAAGAACAATTATAGTTGAACTTGAACTGTGTGTTGTTGCATTCATTCGTTCCGGCCTCTCTCATAAAATCGCCACCCTCACAGGGGGGGTGCAAATCGGGCGCCAAAATGAAGGCAAGAATGAAAACATTTTTCTAAACGGTAAGACACCAAAAAATTGAAGTAAAATATACAAAATAGGTTTTAAAAAACACGTTTTAATTATCTGAAGTTGGAAGAATCAAACCAACCATGGAAATGTACACAGCATCTGAGCTCACCGCCATGTTTCCTGACCTACAAAATGGCGGCCACTACAAGCCCCGGATGTGCACGCCCGTGGAAAAGACCGCCATCTTGATACCGTACAGGAACAGATGCACCCACCTGTTCATTCTCCTACCTGCATTGATCCCGATGTTGATCAGACAAAATATTGATTTTACGATTTACATCATCGAACAGGTAAAATATTCTTTAGTAGTCCCACCTAATCTATAGGGGTCATCCATAAATGACGTCACGCTTTTCTGGACAATTTTTCATCCACCCTCCCCTCCGTCACACGTCGTCACAAAAAGCCAGACTCTCCCCTCCCCCTTAAAATGACGTCACACCTCAGCCTACAACCCCCACACAAAATTGCTGTTGAATTTTTCTTAAAACATCGATATTTTCCAAAATCTTGTCTGAACTCTGTCAACATAAAGTATTTTAATCAATTCCTATTACAATTTATTAAAACTGTTTTCTAAAACGCGAAATAACGGCTAAAACTCGTTTTCTAACATTGCTTTTTTATAATGCAAAAAACGTGACTTCACACCATCTGAACCCCCCTCCCCTCCCCCTCATCACACACCGTCACAAAATTACGGACCCCCCCTCTTCGAATGTGACGTCATTTATGAAAGGCCCCCATACATGCCATCACACAAAGGCAACTATCTAAATGTTACATAAACGAACATCTTAATGTGAATATATAATAAGTGTGGCATAACGTAATAGTAGGACAGGTATTATAAGCCTACAAGTATTTTATTTTTAATTTTTTTACGAAGTTGACAATTTTAACAATTTTTTTAATTAGTCTTTATTTATACATTCATAAATATTTTTATTTTAAATCATAGCAATTGAAACAAAATTTAAAAAAAATAGCAATATTTTGCTTGCAGAGTTTCTTCCAGGCATCTCTTCGGGGGGGGGGGGGGGTGCCCCGCCCCGAATAAAGTCTACCCCCCCCCCAACGAAATGGTATTTATATAGAAAATATATACTTTTGACAGTGTCCGCCGCCCCCCCCCCCCCCAAATTTCAAGTGCACCCCCGGAGAAAAAAAGTCTGGAAGAAACACTGTTTGCTTGTAAATCTGGTAATGTCAGTATAACAAGCTGTGTCACCAGTGTGACATTTTGTACACCCAACTTTCAGACGTCGGCCGGGACTTTCAACAAAGGCATCATGTTTAACGCTGGCTTCCTGGAGGCCCTGAACGTGGATAACTACGATTGCTTCATCCTGCATGACGTCGACATGATCCCGATAGACGACCGGAACATGTATAGGTGTAACAAGACGGGACCAATACACTTCTCGTCTGCCGTCAATAAATTTGATTACAAGTTGGTTTTAATTTTTCTAATTTTTAAAATCAAATTAAATTAGAGGAACTGACATTGGTTTAAGTATATATTTTCCTCTTCAAGTCTTCGTTCTTAAATGTTATATTTAAGAACATTTCTTGAAACATCTATATATAGAATTCTCTTCATTGGGAACATGCGAGACACCACATAAACGCACGCCAGAGGCGTAGCGATGGGGCGGGTGGGGGGGGGGTGCAGGGGGGGGGGGACATTTGTCCCCGGGCGCCGACCTTAGGGGGCGCCAAAATGGGTTGTAAAAACAAATTAAAATGCCATTTTAATTTTATTTTTGCAGTTTGAGGGGGGGGGGGGGGGGTTGCAAATCGAAAGTTTGAGGGGGGGGGGTGCAAATTGAAAATTTGCTCCCGATGGCGGGCGCCAAATTGAAAGTTTGTCCCCGGGCGCTACGCCTCTGACGCACGCCGTTACTCCCCCGCTCTCTAGGCTACCACCCCCACCCCACCAGTCTGGTGAGCTGTGGTTAACACTAAATGTTTACAATCGTAGAGCCGGGTCGAATTAGTGACGCTATTAGGGGCAAATAATTTAGTTTTTAAACGATTTGAAAAGAAGTAGAGGTAATAACAAGTTCTGTCTCCGGCTAACGAGCATCATCTGCCCGGGGGTTCGAATCCGGGAAATTTTGGGGGTTAGCAAAATACGATCGCTAGGTTGACCACACATTCCCACTTAGTTTGAACATAATACAGATATAAAAAATCTTTACAAGAACACGCTTTTAAACTCACAGAAAATTATAAAATAAAACAAGCTTGCTTTAACAAAATAATAATAAGATATGTCGCTAATGAAATCTCTCATGCATTTGAGAGACAAAACTTATTATTAAAGTAAGCATGTTTGTTATATCTTATTGAATTAAGAAAACAATAATTTCAGAGATTACTATCCAGGTTTGTTTGGGGGCGTGGTCAGCTTCACACGTGACCACTTTAAACTAATCAACGGCGCTTCTAACATGTACTTTGGCTGGGGCGGGGAAGATGACGATCTGAGAGACAGGTTACATTTTTTTTTTGTTTTTTTTGTTTTAGGAAAAAATACAATTACGTGTTTTAATTAACTAACATATTCAAAAAAATTAAGAAATAAGAATTATTTTTTAAACCAATTTCTTAACACTATTCAAATTTATTCTTTTTAATTGTTTAAAGAAATATACATTTTTTTTAGAAAAGGATGCTTGGTCTAGGGTAAAGGAGGGCGTTAAGAGCCGTGTGGTATTAAGCCCCAATCAACACCCCACCCCCACAAAACCCCCAATAACACTGCTAATCTTTTTCTGAGGTAACAACCACTGCTGTTCTTTGATAACAGAGAAGCAGAGGATTCATTTTATGTAATTTATGACCCACTTGGTCCAATAGGGAGAGGATGAGACAGGATTTAATCCCACTGCTCTTTCCCTAAAATTTCTCATCTCCATAAAACCATTTTGTGAACTTTTTTTCCAAATAGACATAACTTGGGAAACTTCACTTTGTAATAAACCAAATGAGTTTTTCAAGCCCATTCTTTGTTCCTGTATTAGAGCATTGGTTGTTGTACATTTTAACACTATTTTTATAGCTATGGCTAGAATAGTTTTATTTTGGTGAATTTTTTTTGCATAGTGATTATTGGTGCCAAAACAAAATGGCAGACATTTGTCCCATTTTACCATGCTATAAAGTTTTTATCATAATCAGAGTAAAACTTGAGTAATCATTACCATAATGGTTTTATTTGTTAGATAATAACTAAATCTACATGAATACATTAATTTTGTCCACTAGCTTGCCTGTTTAGAAAAGTTATAACAGATACTGTTATGTGGCTCTTGAAACCCTATGTGCAAGTTTCTCATTTATTAGACCACTGAATATGACACAGGTATAGGAATAGTTAACACAAAATGTATTAATTGTTAAACAGACTTGTGTCTAAATGATAGAAATACTATTCTAACCTGCTAAAAAGTTAAAATTCAGCCATCTGATGTTAGCCAAGTAATCTTTAAAAGGTACACGTCCTTATTACCCCTAAGGGGCAATACAGCCGACTCAGCCCCCATCTGTTTCTAACCAACCATAAAACTTCTAATATCTTTGTAGGTAACAGGAATAAATGTTCTTAGGTCTCAGCCAATCTGGGGTGGTATGTTATGTAATTTATGACCCTCATGGTCCAGCAGGGAAGTAAACAGACACATTAATACCACTGCTCCCCCCTTACAATTTCTTACCCCCATGATACCCGGCCCCCACCAGTTTCTGGCCCACCATAAAACTTCATCTCTTTGTAGGTAACATGGATTACAGTTACAGATCTCAGACAATCTGGGGTGGCATGTTATGTAATATATGACTTTCATGGTCTAGCAGGGTGGAGACCAAAGAGGAATCAGTACCACTGCTCTCCCCTCACAATTTCTCACCTCCATGATAGCCAGACCCCACCTGTATCTAACCCACCATAAAACTTCATCTCTTTGTAGGTAACATGGACTAAGTTCTTAGATCTCAGCCAACCAGAGATAGCATCTCCTTATGTAATGTATGGCCCTCAGGGTCCAGCAAGGAGAAAAAAGGGGAAACCAGTACCACTGCTCTCCCCTCACAATTTCTCACCTCCATGATAGCCAGACCCCACCTGTATCTAACCCACCATAAAACTTCATCTCTTTGTAGGTAACATGGATTTAGTTCTTAGATCTCAGCCAACCATAGATAGCATCTCCTTATGTAATTTATGGCCCTCAGGGTCCAGCAAGGAGAACAAAGGGGAAACCAGTACCACTGCTCTCCCCTCAACATTTCTCACCTCCATGTCATGTTATGTAATGTATAGCACACATGGCTTATCAGGGGAAAGCATTAAGGCAGATTAGTTAGTACCACCCCTTTTTACATACAAGAATGTTAACTCTGGACAGCTACACACTAGTATACTAGCTACACACTAGGCATACTAATGTGCCTACTGTAAACTACTAGACTTTAGGCCCTATGTACACCTGCAATTGTATCAATTGTAGACTGGGCCCATTGGGGCCTAGTGATAGCTAGTATCAGTTAAAGTGTGTGTACACAGCATTAACTATTTTGGGGTTAGAAATTAATTATTTTTATTGCGGAGTTAGTCTAAACTAGGGATAATACTTATTGCCCCATTGCCCGGCTCCTTTCACCCCAAATGCTGATTTTGGGGGTATGACTATAAATGTTCAATTAAACCCATTTAAAGTATATTTAATAGACTTTGTTATTATTTTTATATTGTGTAAGATATGTTAGAATAATTTTGCCATATTTTCAATACTAAAAAATTCTTAGATTAGTAGAAATCTATAAAAATGTACAGGTGCTAAAAAGTGTGGCTCTTAACGCCCTCCTTTACCCTATAAAGTTCCCTTTTCAAAACTGACGGTCTATAGAGTAAGTGAAGTAGAGTTCACCTGTTTCTGTTACCTCGGCATATGAAGAGATAGTGTGGTCAGCACTATGCCAGTGTGGTCAGCTTTATGCCCAGCCGCCTTTACTTTCCCTAACGTGAGTTAGGTACCCATCAGAGTTGGGTGGACTCAGGGACGGTCTACTGACTTGAACCCAGATTCGAACTCGAGACTTACGGGTTAGCAGTCCAGCTCTCTACCGCTAGACTACTCCGTCCCATGCTTGGTCTATAGTCTCAGTTATTTTGGCGTAATGATAGCATTCTTTACTACCCTAAAAAGATGGCCCTTGTTTCAAGTTGTGTAGATCAGCTGTTCTTAACCTGGGTTCGATCCCAGGTGGGTCAGCTTCATGGGTGCGGTGGGTCAGTCTCAGTCAAGCCACACCGACACATAATTCACAATCGGATTCCGTACTATTTTGAAGGGTTCGTTGAATGCACATATGAAACCGGTGGGGTGCGGTACCACCGAATAGGTTAAGAACCACTTTTTAGTTACACAATAAGCGAAATTTATTTGTTCATACTATCCCCCCCCCCCCACACACACCCATCCTATTGGATATTCAATGCCAATCACTGAGTACTGGGTAAGACCTTGGAATTACACACACCAACACCCCAACACACACACACAAACACATACACACACACTCCCACTTTTTATCTGTGCAACTCGACTAGAGATTTTTTTCGAAAGAAAAGTAACAATTTTAATTCCCACATAAATAAACCCACAAATTGTAAACTGTTACAGAGCGGTGCATAAGAAATTACCTTTACTGCGCAAGAAACTGTCGGTGGGTATCTACGACATGGTGACACACCAAAAGGACAAGGGATGGGAGATTAATCCACAAAGGTAAGGGAGGTAATTGCACAAATGTAAGGGAGGTAAAAGCACAAATGTAAGGGAGATAAATACACAAATGTAAGGGAGGTAAATACACAAAGGTAAGGGAGATAACTACACAAAAGTAAGGGAGATAAATACACAAAGGTAAGGGAGGTAATTGCACAAATGTAAGGGAGATAAATGCACAAATGTAAGGGAGATAAATACACAAATGTAAGGGAGATAAATACACAAATGTAAGGGAGGTAAATACACAAATGTAAGGGAGATAAATACACAAAGGTAAGGGAGATAATTACACAAATGTAAGGGATGTAAATATACAAAGGTAAGGGAGATAAATACACAAAGGTAAGGGAGATAACTACACAAAAGTAAGGGAGATAAATACACAAAGGTTAGGGAGGTAAATACACAAATGTAAGGGAGATAAATACACAAATGTAAGGGAGATAAATTAACAAATGTAAGGGAGGTAAATACACAAATGTAAGGGAGACAAATACACAAATGTAAGGGAGGTAAATACACTAATGTAAGGGAGATAAATACACAAATGTAAGGGAGATAAATTAACAAATGTAAGGGAGGTAAATACACAAATGTAAGGGAGATAAATACACAAATGTAAGGTAGGTAAATACACAAATGTAAGGGAGGTGAATGCACAAATGTAAGTGAGGTAAATACACTAATATAAATACCAAAGGGTAGTGGGGTAAATCTATAAAGGTAACGAATGTAATTATACAGAGGTAATGGAAGTAAATTCATAAAGGGAGGCAAATACAGTAAGATAATGGAGGTAAATCCAGTAAGTTAAGCAAATTTGAGTTAAATACACACGGAATTTTTTAAGTGACTAACTGTTTTGTGTGTAATGTACATCACAATAATGTGTACTTTAAAGTAAATAGGCCTTTGTTTTTTGGTCTTTAAGACTTTAAGCCAATGAGAACAACCTATTCGAAGGGGAGATAACAATGAAATATTTGTTGAATTAGTTTAATTCTAATTAACACACTTTTAAAAATATACCTAAACACATTATTAGATTTTTTTACGCCTGAAGTTTTTGCTTGCATTTGTCAGACAAAATAAAGTTCTAAAATTCTTCTTTTAAAATAAGTCTTGTTCCTTCAGGTTTAATTGTGGTCCGCCCCAATTAAATAGCCATTAAGCCATAAAATATAATTAAATGTTCAAAGCATTATTTAACTAACAGAAGTCAGCGAGATTTTTTAAGAACTGTTAGATCCAGCCTTCCTAATGCATGTATTTAAGTCTGTAACTGCAGGAATTCTCACCTGAATCCAAATCTAGTCCCCCCAATGCCTATATGTAAGGTGGTAACTTCTGGAATTCTCACCTGAATCCAAATCTAGTCCTCCCAATACCCGTATGTAAGGTGGTAACTTCTGGAATTCTCACCTGAATCAAACTGTTCCAGACTCAAGGTGTACGCCAGCAGACGCAAGAGGCAGGACATTGACGGCATCAACTCCGTAATCTACACTAAAGTCGGCGTGGACACGACGCCCCTCTACACCTGGATCAAAGTTGCCTTCGATAAACAACAAATTTTAGATGTTCGTTAAAATTTTATTTTCATGCATCTAGATAGTTAAAAATGTGTATTAAATAATTTACAGGCAACTTCAGATTCTTAGAAATAGTAAATTAATTAGCAATTACGATTCTTGCAAGCAAAATTTATCCAACCTTCTAATTAAAAAAAGTACTTTTAAAATAGGAATTAGTGTATCTCCGTCCTATAATCATTAGCTAGTTTTGGATTAATAATCCTACTGCACGTTAACTTTCATTTAAACAATTTTTTTAAATTGGAAAAATTGTTACAATTGTTGTTTTTTTCATTTAAATCAACCTTCCTATGCTTCTCAGCGTTTGTTGAAATTGTAGGCATTTAAAAACCCAAATCATCACAGTTTTTAAAAAACTAGAAACAAAAATCGTTTATAGATAACTTTGATGTATGCTAGCAACGTATTGTTAAACTGCTCATATAGTTTTAATTTTGGTATCAAGGAATGCAGCCTATTTCCCAACTTTAATCATGTATTCAGACGAAAAATGAGATCTAAAATAAAAATAAAAACAACCTTAAAATTATTACATCATTTATAAATAAAAACACGAAAATAACAACAACAATTAGCTCCAAATAAAGTTTCGTCTTCGTCAGTATAGAAAACCCATAAAAGATAACTAACTGAATACTTTCTCTCTGCATGCCAACGTAAGCAATACTTTTTATAATGCATCAAAGCAAACTACAGCGTATGCGATAGAAAAGTACCAACAGGCATTGAATGTTTCTACTTTTTTTTTGTCCTCAGACTGTCCCCAAGGACCTACGAATGTCCTCCAACGTTGATGGCAGCTATTTATACGCCAAGTTTAAAATCATTTAGTTTTGTAAATACATTTGTCACCGAAATATCAGTGCCTCATTATAATATCTAGTGTTGTGCAGTTGTTTATTTCTTACAACCCCTAAGGTGTATGTGTGTGTGTGTGTGCGTGTGTGTATGTGTATGTGCGTGTGTGTGTGTGTGTGATCGTGTGAATCAAAGCTACTGTGTTGTTGAGTGGGCAGTGCAGTACCCAGTGGAAGATGGGCTATAAAATGGGAAGTGCACAATAATTAATTAGTGTCCTCCCTTGACCCGGTATATATATATATATATATATATATATATATATATATATATATATATATATATATATATATATATATTATATATATATATATATATATATGCCTGTATATAAACATATATATATATATATATATCTAATATATAAAGCTCAGTTCTGTATGTAATGCATGTTTGTCGCTGGTCTTGGATAGATTAAAGTGTTATAATATTATCGTGCGCATTTCTCTAAATTTATGAGTTAAAAAATTACTATTGAAAGTGTTGGGAAATAATTTTCATTTTTCAAATTAAAGTAATAATTGTCGGCGTGTTCATTAAACACAAGTTTTAAAAAATATCATCTTTTACAAAAATTCTAATTATGTCTTTATTTAGTCCTATAGCATTTACTTCCCTTTGATAAATTAGGAAAACACAATTACTTCCCTTTATAAAACCATTGCATTTACTTTGCATTAATTTACTTTTTATTACTTTGTTTTGGTGTTGGGAAAAAAAATAATTACATAATTAGCGGGGATTGATCAAGTGCAAATGTTGTAGGTATTTTACGGATAAGCTTGGAGTATTAAAATTGTTCATTAAATTGAAACAGGCGCGTTCGTTTAAGTGAGTGCAAAAGACTATGAATAAGTTGGGGTACTATAGTCGTTCATTAAGCAGGTGATTCCGCCCCGGGCGTTTATGTTCGCGTTAGTGTTTTCTTTGTGTTTAGGTGGGTTTGCGTTAGTGGTTGCGTTTTGATTTGGTTCGTTTTTGTTCTTTCTTTTTTCGTTTTTGTTTGTGTTTTTTTTTGTTTGGGTTTGTATTTGTGTTTTTGGTTGGTTTTGCGTTTGGATTTGGTTTGTTTTCGTTTGCTTTTTCGTTGTTTTTTTTTTTTTGTTGGTATTGGTGTTTGTGGTTGAGTTTGTTGTTAGGTTTTTGTTTTCGTTTGCTTTTTTGTTTGTTTTTTCTTTGTGTTTGTATTGGTGTTTGTGGTTGTGGTTGGGTTTGTTGTTAGGTTTTTGTTTTCGTTTGTATTTGTAGTTGTGTTAGCGTTATGTTTGCGTTTCACACAGGTAATGGTCTTTAACAGAAAGGTTTTTCACAGAAGCCAGAGCAGGGCCTGGCCGGGACGGCTAGTATATACATAAATAAATAAATATATATATATATATATATTTATATATATATATTTATATATATATATATATATATATATATATATATATATATATATATATATATATGTATATATATATATATATATATATATATATATATATATATATATATATATTCTTTTTTTCTTACAAGAAAAAGTATATTTTATTTTGTTTTAGCTAATTTTTGTTATATCTAAGTTAAGCGATCGTTATAATCTAACAAAGACCATCCAAATTCGAGTTGTTCCCCATGATAAAAACTTCAACCATCCCCTCAAGTATTACAATTAGCTCTCATCGCTTTCTGTTCGCAAACGGTTTATCTACAGCGAGGCTTCCTAAAATAATTTACATTTCTGGCACACAAATGGGTTGATCAACCAGCTTCAGTGAAGTTAAACATAAACGGAATCTTATCAAAACAGGCTAGAAAAACATGTTTTAACCCCATATGTGTGGCGATGACTGATCCGTATAGTATTTACAAACACAAATGACTGGTTAGTGATAGGTCGAAACTATAATAGCACTATAACTCTAACATAATAGTAAAAGTATTTAAACCTACTGAGACTTTTTTTCCGGGGGGAGGGGCACTTGAAATTTTCACTAGGGTGGGGGACTAAATTTCCCGGGGGGGGGGGGGATGCGGCTACTGGTAAAAGTATGTTTTTTCTATTTAAATTCTGCTTTGTACGGGTGGGGGGGGGGGGGGGCGTTAGACTTTCTTCTGAGAGTGGGAGGGGGGGGAAGCGCAGCCCCCCCCTCCCCGAAGAGACGCCTGAAAGAACTCTGGTATCAAATCAAATTAGAGTCTGCTAAAGAAAATGATAAATCAACACAGACGTTGCATTTTATTACATATTTTTTTGTCCTCAGACTGTCCCTAAGGACCTACAAATGTCCCACAAGCATGATGGCAGCTATTTGTACGCCAAGTTTATCATCATTTAGTTTTTTTAAATATATGTGTAACTGTAACATCCTAGCTCAGTGCAATAACTTACGTTGTGTAATTGCTTATTTCTTACCATCCATTATGTGTGTTTGTGATCATGTGAAAATAAATAATTATGTTGAAATGAAGTAGGCAATACCCTGACCACTCTGGTAAAGGGGAAAGGGGGGGGGGGGTAAGTGTACTTAGTCAATAGTCTCGGTAGGTGTGAAACATATTTTGTCAAATGTGGTGCTATGTAATTAAAATAAATACGGTTATAAAAACGTGACTAATTTTTGGACGAACTTTACACACATTTTAAAAAAGCGGGAGTTATCTCCGCTAAACTTTCTCGAATATTTTTATAAACCACTACGGGGATGGCTATTCGGGATATATATATATATATATATATATATATATATATATATATATATATATATATATATATATATATATATATATATATATATATATAGAGGAAGTATTGTAATCGTGCAAAAAAAAAATCGAGATTTTCACAGAAATTTCATACATAAGTATTATATCTAATTTGTAGATCCGTATCAACTTTTCAGCGATTTCCGATACCCCGGAAGTGGAACTTTTTCTACTTTCAATTTTTCAAAAGACTATAACATGAGTACTATTTCAGATAGATAAATAAAAGTTCACATATAAGTAAAAGCTCCAATTCTCTGTCTTCTTTCAAACTTTGAGTAATTTCTGATGAAAGGAAGTAGTATTTTAGGCTATTCCCGATTGCTCAAAAAACGCATGTGAATTTATAAAGTACTAATAATATTCCTCACTTTTATACACATTTTATTTGGCGTTCACTTGGTGTGCAGTTTTTTTTACGAGATTCTATTCTATTTTTAAAAGTTTAAGTAATTAAAAATTGATTAAAAATATTTCTATATCCCAAGTTGCCATCCCCCGTAGTGTTATATAAGAGTATTCGAAAAAATTTAGGGGAGATCACTCCCGGTTTATTTACAAAAATAAAATCGATATATTTGGGGGGAAAAAATCGACGTTTTAAAAAAAAATTCAATTTTGATGGAGGTTTACGCCGATGTGTGACGTCATTTTAGGGGGGTCTGGCTTTTTGTGACGACGCATGACGGAGGGGAGGGAGGGAGGCGAAATCGTCAAAAGAAAACCTTACTCATTTACGGATGCCCCCCCCCCCCCCCCGGGTTTTTTAAAAAATAGAGGCCCTTAATCGAGATAATCAATTTATTTTGATGGATTCTTTCCCCTCGCTAAATATAAACCCCTCTCATTTATTCACATGCACTTTAATATATTCTAATAAAATCCCAGCAGAAAACGTAAACAACGCATGCAGATGTTTTGTTTTACCATGTTCATTTGTCAGCTGTTGAACTAGGCCATGGTCGCTAATTTTACTAACAGGGAATTCCCGATGTTCTATTTCTAAAAAAAAAAAAAACACACTCAACATGGCAAGTTGTAAGGTCTGCTGGCCATTTTGTCGTCGGTTCACGAAACAAAGCTTGACGTAATGACGAGAGTTAAATTAGGCCTACTTTTTGTGTGAGTTACTGCGGGGTGAAGGTCGGTTTATTTTTAGTTGAGCTACACACGGTGAGTTCATGCAATGTGTTTAGTTTCAGCCCATGGGTTGTTCGTTCTAAGTCTGTGTTTATTGTGTGCTTCAAGATAGCATTACTTTAAGTAAATTCGACATTGGCCGATGCATCGTCTACTGAAGGATAAATACTAGATTACAATTAAATACAATAGTATAAGCCGATTAATATTAGCGATTGAAACTTTATGCCATATATATTCTTGATCGAACTGGGAAGTGTATCGTGATCTTTAGCATAAAATGTAGTAGCCGGCATTCAATTTTAGTTAAATCTAGATGTAGATCTAGAATCAAGTAAGTCTATCAGAAAAAACTAACACAGCGATTGTGTGTGTATTTTTCACAACGAAGCCCGATGCTATCCTCCGGTAAAATGGAAGAATAAGGTTGAAGGTTGTAATATAATGTCAGTGAAAGTTGTTAAGATTACTTAGATTAAGGTTAGGACTGAAGTAAGTTTTTAAAACACAGACCTTTTATGGTGGTTTGTCATTTTGTCATGTAAAGTTACATGTTAGGTGGGGTTAGGTTAGGGTAGTATGTATTTGATCTTCTGTATGCGATATCTTTAATACTAAGGGTCATCCATAAACGACGTCACGCTTTTTAAAACGACTTTGAACTTCCCCATCAGTCTCCATCGTCACACATCGTCACAAAAAGCCAGACCCCCCCCCCCCGGTTAAATGCCGTTACACCTCAGCCTACAACGCCCCCCCCCCTAGAATTTGAAGTTTTTACTATTTAACCGTTAATTTCATTCTAAAATAGTTACTGTGCTCAATCAACATTGGGTAAATGAATTCATTTATATTAAAATTTTCAAGAAGTCTTGTAAAAACGCGACATAATGGCTAAAAAAATTCTAACATTACTTGCAGCTCGATTCTTTGAACTGTTGCCATCCGATTTACGGTAACTCTAGCTCTAATCCTGAGACTTTCTATAAAAGTTGGCCTGCGGTCTTGTAATCACCATTAATAAAACTGTCAACGGTCACATTTTACTATTAGACTAATTACGTTTTTATCGGGCCGTAACTAATCACAGTAAATTAGTCTTAGGTTTGGTTTAGGCGTAGGCGGGGCAGTTTTCTTGAACTGTGAGAACGACAAGAAATTTTATTTACCTGTAGGGCATTGTGATTTTTGCTTTTTATTAGAAACGTTAAAATAATTGATGATAAATTTAATACGAAAAGAAATTGTCAATTCAATTCGAAGAACATCCGTCATTGGCTGGTGAGTTTTACTTCATGTCCTTAGAACTGTTGGTGTCCTTTTAGCTGTTGATGTCTTAAAGCTGTTAATGTCTTATAGCTGTTGATGTCCTTATAGCTGTTGATGTCCTTATAGATGTTGATGTCCTTATACCTAATGATTTCCTTATAGCTGTTGGTGTCCTTATAGCTGTTGATGTACGTATAGCTGTTGATATCTTATAGCTGTTGATATCTTATAACTGTTGATGTCCTTATAACTGTTGATGTCCTTACAACTGTTGATGTCCTTATAGCTGTTGATTTCTTATAGCTGTTGATGTCCTTAGAGACGTTGGTGTCTTAAAGCTGTTGGCGTATTAAAGCAGTTGATGTCCTTAGAGCTGTTGATGTTCTCTAACTGTTAATGCCCTTATAGCTGTTGATGTGCTCATAGACGTTGATTGTCCTTAATGTTCTAATACAGATGTTATGTGAGATGGTCGCGAAAGTCAGCATTTCCCCAAGATACAATGTTCCATAACCCCACCTCCCCCACCCACACACAACACGTAGATACTGTCTCGTGTTTCTAGGGTCAAGGACGACATAGTCAGAACGAGATTTCGTTCCTTGTGTTTGTTTTTTATCACTTAGTGTAACTTTTTCGTTACTTTTTATTTTATCAGTAAAAGTTTGTTTTATAACTTTGAATATCCTTATTTTCCTTGCCTTCACTTTGATATATATATATATATATATATATATATATATATATATATATATATATATATATATATATATATATATATATATATATATATATATGTATATATATATGTATGTATATATATATATATATATATATATATATATATATATATATATATATATATATATATATATATATATAATAAGTAAGTTCCTTTTTCGAACCTGACGGTTCATTGGGCAAGTGAAGTAGAGTTCACCTCTTTCTGTGACCTTGCATTTTGAAGGGATTGTGTGGTCAGCACTATGCCCAGCCGCTTTTACTTTCCCCCTAATGTGGGTTTAAAGTACTTATCAGAGTTGGGTGGACTTGAACCCAGATTCGAACTCGAGGCTTTATGGGTTGGCAGTCTAGTGCTCTCTCTATATTAATTTGACTCTTTTCATTTGACTGTCCAGTGAAATGATATGGTACATAGGAAGTAAATATGATACAACTTGGTATCTTTATATACTTTGAATGTAGTTATATAAATTTGTTTAAATGTTTTGAATTCTTGTAAGAAAAATATAGTTGAATTTATCTTTTATTTTTATTGATACCATATTTTTTTAGATTAAAGATTAATATTTTATTGTTTTAACATATGTTTATTATTGTTAAAGCATTTTTAATAGCAATTTTAAAAAAATAGTTGTTACATGACTTTATTGTTACAATCAGTTTTGCTTTCGGTGTTTTTCAGGCCTTCTTTGCTTCTAGCGGGGAAGGCCTTTGAAACTTTCAATGGGGGGGGGGGCATTTAAATTTACGAGGTGGAAGGGACACTGATTAGGCCTAAAGTATATATTGTCTTTTTAAAATATATTATTCTCTAATTTGTTTTTTCGGGGAGGGGGGGGGGGGGGGGCAGAAAGATAGACTGACATTTCCACATTTGCCCCCTCACCCCGGAAGAGTTGTTGAAAGAAGACCTGGTTGCACTTTATTTCATTTTTTTAAACAACATTTTAATGGCCACAAATTTTTTTACTGTAACAATTTTGTTGTTGTTTTAGTATTTTTTAGATATTTTTGTCTCATATGGTTGACTGTTACAATATATATTTATCCAATGTTATATTGCAGAGGCGCAGCGACGGGGGGGGGGGGGTACATATGTCCCCCGGCGCCGATCGTAGGGGCGCCAAAATAAGCTGGTATTTTAAATTATAAATATAAAAAATATATGGGGGAGAGGGCGCAAAATTGAAGGTTTGTACCCGGGCGCCGGGAGGGGTCGCTACGCCTCTGTTATATTGTTACAATATTTGTATTGTAACCGCGATTTTTATGGCTGCAATGATTTTATTGCTACAGTTGATGACCCGCGACATGCTAAGGTCATGGCCGGTCTACAAAAACTTGAGCTGGAGAGGCTGCATTCAGGTGGGGGGACATATGTTCATCATGTGGGGGGGGGGGAGTTGGGGGGGGAGTTGTTGTAGAGGTGGATTGGGATTTATATGGGGTGGGGTTTAATTATTTTTTTGTATTTAGCAACCACTGATGCTCGAGAATCTCATTTCGAATTTAATCAAGCAAATTACCCTTTCATACTAGACTAGACCTTCTATAAAGCTAATAAAATTGTAACAGAAGTTGATTAAAATACGCTAAGTTGTCCAGTTGTAGCTAATAAATTTAGTTCATATATTTCATATATTTCGTTCTATCACACAGGTTACTGTAATCATGGGTGCTCATTGTAAAGGCCCGAGAAAGTGGTAGTTGGTATAGGGCTGGTAAGTAGGTCACCAACCAGTTCTTCGGCTCAATAAAACCTGCATGAGCCATAGAACTGTTTATTGACCTACTTACCAGCCCTATACTTCATGTGATAAAAACGTTGACTCTTCTGTTTCAGGAAATCACGAAATAGAAATCTGCGAGATAGAGAGCGAGCAGGACCTACTCAGCCACCAGCAAGGCTGCCTCAAAAACCCGGGCCACGCCCACTTCATCGCCGTCAACGACTTCACCATCCACCACCTGCCCGACCACTACCACGACAAGGACTTCTACCAGCTCATCAAGATCCTCGCTTTCTTGACCGTCCGCGTTGCCGTGGCCACGGTCAGCCCGCACCGGCCCCAGTTCTTCCACGGGACGGATATCCCGTATCTGTTCCACGGCCGGGGCGGCACCCAGGGGTGGGTGAGGTACGGGACTGGTCGAGTGTGGGATGTGGAGAGGTAAGAGGATGCCTAGAGAGGATTTGAACTATGTATTACAGTTACAGGATATGATAAGAGCTAGTGATATGGTTAGGTCTAAGATCAGTGTTACGTCTACGGTTAGTGTTAGGTCTACGATTCATGTTAAGGTCCAGTGGCGTAGCGAGGTTGGGTGTCACCCGGTGCGGCACTAACGGTGTCACCCCCCAGAGGCGTAGCGACCCTTCCCGGGGACAAACTTTCGATTTTCGATTTGCACCCCCCCCCCCCTCAAACTTTCGATTTGCACCTCTTAAAACTCTATTTTAACACTAATTAATCACTTAATTAAGTGGAATTATCATTTTTCTCTATATATTTTACTATTTTTTGCCTTGGTGTCACCCCCTTAAATGGTGTCACCCGGTGCGGTCCACACCCACGCCCCCCCCCCCTCGCTACGCCTCTGTTAAGGTCTACGATTGAAGTTCTTACTACTAGTTCAGTAAATAATTAAATTACACTATATATTTAATCACTAGATATATCAGGTCTTGTCCAGTTATGCCCCGCCACTAAACCAAAATGGCCAACCAAATAGAATTTATATAGAAAAAATATACTTTAACCAGTGTCTACCCCAGAGGCGTAGCGACCCTTCCCGGCGCCCGGGGACAAACTTTTCGATTTGCACCCCCCTCAAACTTTCGATTTGCAACCCCTCCTCTAGATTTCGATTTGCAACCCCCCCCCCCCCCAAGATTTTGATTTGCACCCCCCCTCAACCTTTCAATTTATTTTTCCAACCCATTTTGGCGCCCCCTAAGGTCGGCGCCCGGGGACATGTGTCCCCCCCGCCCCCCCCCCTCGCTACGCTACTGGTCTACCCCCCCCCCGGAAAATTGTGTCGTCGTCCCCTTCCGAAAATTTCAAGTGCCCTCCCTCCCCCTCGAGGAAAAGTCTAAAAAACCACATCTATTTCTATTTAATTATGTAATTATATAATTATACATAATAATGATATCATATAATATATATGCTTATATGCTTTCTCTGACAGCTATCAGAAGACGACGACCAGACCTGTCCATGCTCCCTGTGTCGCCACTCGATGACGTCACGAAAATCGTGGGGCAAAGTTCACGTGGACACGGCCGCGCACGTCGTGTTCGACGCGGCCGAGGCCAAGGCCACCACGTGCCGCTGGGGCTACGACGCCGACGACAGCCCCGTCGTGAACCTGGAGGGGGTGGGCGTGACGGAAGTGAACGCCGAGAGAGACACCTGCCGGGTGACCTGCATCACCCACGACCTCCAGCTGGTGGAGAAATTAAAAGACATGGTTCAAGAGTATGATAGATTCTTCTGGGACGTGACGAATAAATACGAGCCTCGTCCAGAAAACAATCAAATTGTTGTCGTGTCTCATCCCCATGGTTGCAGTAAACAAATTTCTTTAGGGAAATTCACGCGCAGGAATGAACTTCCGGACAAGCGCACGAGCTATATCTACACCGCGGCTACCTGCCCGGGAAGTAGCGGGGCGGCGGTTTTTGTTGTAGGGCGCGAAGGGTGGGAGTGGTACACTCATTCCCACTGTGGGGCTAATAGTGATGGGAATCATAGTGGGTACCGGTGGTTCTAAAAGTGTTGAGTGATGAATCCATGAAAACAGAGGGGCAGCCATTGATATGAATTACAGTGACTGTCGGTGGTTCTAAAAGTGTGAATAATATACCCATGATCACCATGAGGCAATGGGGATCACAGTGGCTGTTGGTGGTTCTAAAAGTGTGAATGATAACCCCATGAACACCATGAGGCAATGGAGAGCGCAGTGGCTATGGGTGCTTCTAAAAGTGTAGATGATGTTCCCATAAACACAGCTGGGCAGCCATTGATAGGAATTACAGTGGCTGTCAGTGGTTCTAAACGTGTGAATGATGGAACCCAGAAGCACAGCAGGACAGCCATTATTGAGAATCACAGTGGTTGTCGATGTGAATCGTGTGAAAGGCGCAAAACCAACCTTTCTCGGGCTAAAAGTGATAGAAATCAGTGGCTATCGATGGTTCTAAAATTGTTAACAATACACCTATTTACAAAGTAGGACACTTGGTGTCACCCATAAGAACAGCAACTTTAGACACAGCCTTGTGGCGATACTGGGTCGAATTGTATTTTTGAAACCAATTTTTGGAGGGTTTCTTTTTCAACTCATTGAGCTTATTGATGTTTACATATTTTTTATTATTAACACGTTTTTCTTAACTCAGCTTCGCGTTTGTTTGTTTGTTTGGATGTTTGTTGTTAAAATTGACATCGAAAATTAGCCCACTTCTGATTGCTCTAGAGATCTGAAATTTGGCATGTAGGCTACTTTCGCCTAACAATTTCAGATGCAATCATAAAAACTAGCAATTAGAGACCGTAATTAGCTTAATTTAATTACGCCCCAAGGACCATAAAATTGAGGACATGATTTCTAAAGATACCGACAAGACTGGAGGCCTATTGACACAGTTACTTCGGCCCCAATCGATGTGAGCGCGCTGGCCGTGATCGTATAGCGGTTAGTACTTCGCGTTGTGGCCGCGACAACCCAGGTTCGAATCCTGGTCGCTCAAGATTTTTAGTCCGTGTATTTATAAACACTTAGTCAAGTCATACTTAATCAAGTCATTAGATAAAGTAGAAAATAAACTATATAAATTTTTTTTAAAAAACCACGTTTTTCATGTGTAGCAACGGACTAAAAAGGAGAAAATAAAATACTTAAAAAAACTTTTTTAAAAAAACACGTTTTTCTTGTGGACTAAAAAGTAGAAAATAAATTTTCATACATTTGATGACAAAAAAACGTGGGTCGGGCAGATGGGTCGGGAAATTTGATGGTGAACGTACCCACGTTTTTTGTCATCAAATGTATGAAAATTTATTTTCTACTTTTTAGTCCACAAGAAAAACGTGTTTTTTTTTAAAGTTTTTTTTAAGTATTTTATTTACTGTCTCATGTTGAACACAATTATGCAGCTAGTGTTGTTTTACGATTGATTGCTTGTTGCTTTGGTCATAGCTTTACCATCACTAGACGAGGTAGGATTGGAGTATGCTTTGTGTTCATGATTTCATGCTTTCAAGTGTTTATTTATTTCAATTAAACTTATAACTTTTTATGCACGCATCAAATTATTTCTTTGATTTTAAACTTTTTCACTTGAATCCCCAATATTTAGAAAACGGGAACTTATTTTTAAATCCCATGTAGGCCTACTTATGTATTTCTTTTTGTCTAGTTTGCATAATCTCGGTTTTAATAAGAGATGATCATTCACAAATAACGTCGTTATTTCATACGTCATCAAAGCCCTTATCCGTGATGTGAGACCGGCACTAACCGGCTAAACATCACCATTGGCAGTCTAAACAAGTGCCTCTTAGTTGTGGGAGACCGGCACTGACCGGATAAACCCAACATTTGGCCGTCTAAACAAGTGCTTCGTTGCTGTGTCTGACTGGCACTAGTCGCCCACAGTTTATTTTCGAACTGTCAAGCTGGATGTGTTTTCCTACCATTGTGACATACCACGATCAACACATAGCTTCTCGTCAGACTTCTTTTTCCTTTGTCATGAAACACGACAATCAAATTAATAACATTGTCGATGACTTTTTTTTTTATTGGAACACCTCTGCTAATGTCCAAGTTAACACGGGTCAAAGGTCATTGCTAGGGTCTAATTGTAGCGGCTAGTTGCTTCCAGACTACAACGTCCCCCCCCCCCCCCACACCCTAGCCCATCCACCCCGTAGTTAAGAACTAGAAAAAGACTTAGTTATCTTACAGATAAAACAAAATGCAGAAGTTCTTTCTACTAACAGTGTTTCTTTCAGACATATCAACCCTCCTGATTACATCCACCAACACAACCTACCTGTGTGCGTCGACTAACCTCCCCTCCCCGTCATGAGTGCATCCACCAACCTCCCCCTCCTGAATAGATCCACCAACCCCCCTCCCCTCCTCCCCCCAAAATAAATCCCAGACAAACATAAAAAAATGTAAAGTAGGCCTAGCTGTCGAGGTTTAGGTCATTCGGGCTATTGCAGTAATTTTAGAGAAGCTGGCATATGACACGGGGCGGCGTGGTTGGACAATAAAGCGTACGACTGCTATATCTCGTGTTCGGATCCCTGAGTTCACCCAGCCCAAATGGGTAGGCCTACTTGACTTGAGAAAGTATAGGCGGCTGGGAATATTTCTGACCACATTACCCCTTCATATGCAAAGTTCACAGAAACAGGCGAACTCTACTTCATCTGCCCCATGTACCGTCAAGTTCAAAAGAGTTACTTTATTTTTATATGAGGCGTAGGTCAAAATGTTTGGGAACCACTGGTCTAGTTAACATGACTGCTTTTTGTGCCGTGTCTTGATGTACGCTAACCTTTGAACTGTAATGTGTTGACTGTGTCACGTGATACGCACATGTTTTATTACAGGAATCCATGACGTGAATTGTTTATTATGTGTTGTGTCAAGCTTTATGATAGGTTGTAAATTACACACTGCTTTGACGGGTTGAAAGGGGAAGTAATTCTCCGAATAAAGGGAAGGAAATGAGAGAGACAAAGTTTCACAATCACAGGTAACGCAAAAGAATCTTTGAAAGATGAGCACGCATGGTTAACCAAAGATTAACCCACTCACGGCAAGTTAATGATTAGCCCATGATAACTCCACAAAAACACGCAGTCATCCCACATAAAAAAGCATTTAGGGGGTGACTAGCCCACTCAAAGATACTGCCTCGAATTAATTGACACAAACAAGCAGCCCCTAGCTGAAAATGAATACATTGGACCATCCAACACAACACACAAAAAAATCGAATTTAATTTCTAGAAAAACTAAATGAAACCGATTTTGTCAAAAACTATTTTCACGAATTAAAAATAAATTTATTGTTCCTAAAATTTAATTTAGATAATTAAAGTTTTTAACTGATCTCAGTTGTCGTATTTAGATTGCATTGGGCCTCTGTAGCGTTTACACTGTGGTAGTGGTTTTAATAGCCACTCCCTTCCATATGCATCATATTTTGCTTAGAATATGCATTATGAGAATATTAAATTTAATATAAATTTATCAAAATTTGAAGTTGTTTTTTTTTTTTTTGAGAAATCGGAAGAGCAAAGAACCCCATCCGGTTACCGGAAATCGTTCAAAAGTTGACAGAATCCAGCGTATAAGTTCTTTAACTTAAATATGATTTCCCTCCCCCCCCCCCCCCCCCCCCCCCCCCACCTAACTGAATCAGTTAGCTCCAGTTTTTTTCTCGCTTTATATTATAATAAAATCCTTTAAAATGAATATTTCAGGAAGCTGCCTCCCTTACAACATTTTTTTTTTCTGCTATCCCCGGGATCGGTCTACAACCTCTCGAGGTGGTTGTGTGGGGGTCGTCGGTGACTTTTTTAAAAAAAGGATAATCTTTACACGAGGAGTAGGTCACTTGGCGAGTGAATAACCGAGATCCATGCAAACGCCAGATGTCCACAGCTTAAATATCATAATCCTTTTTTTTTTTTTTTTTTTAGAAAATTCGCCTCCGTTTTCCTAAAAAAATCTGCAGTTTAAAAGGAAATGCCGCCTCTTGTCGGTTTGATGGACTTTGTGGCCGAGCGACATTTTCCAACGTGTTCTATTTATTTGATGGAAGAACCTGCCAAGTGTCCTAAACAACCGTAGACCATTTTGCTTTATATATCATGATAATACTGGGGTGGGCCTGCCTGGTTGTTAATGATTAGGCCTATCATTGATTTGTTTAATAGCACATATTTATTCTGTGTAAACTTAATTATTTTTGGCAACATTCATATTTTTATCTGGCATATTGGACCGATTTCCAGAATGACCACTTTCACTTTCACTATGCTTTATTTCTTCATCTGTTAACAGGACTTCATTAGAATCTAGATATCTCTAGACTAGATCTGAAACTTTACATTGTGTAGATTTCGTGTTCACTTTAAGATGGAATCTAATGGAGATACTGAAAGCGATGCACAACCGAAGTTAACATTTGCTGACTTAAATATTCCTTCCGTGTCAACGCAACCAAAGGATACGCCGATTGGAAAGGTAACCTGAACTCTGAACCCAGCAGAGTAACCGTGCAATCCAAGTCAAAAGTAAAGTCAACATACTTAGACTAGTAGACGGTAAAATCTAGACTAGTTCTAGACTAGACCATCTGAAATCTACATTCAATTTCACAATTTGCTCTAAGAAAATAATAATATAAAATATTGGTCGATATTTCAATTTCGAGTCGACCCTTTGTATTTTGATTTTGTATCCCAAAAGAACATCTCCCTGGCGTAGAAAGAACACTAGTTCAATCATTTCATGTTCTAAGTTAGGACCATTATTTAATATTATTTATTGTAATCATCATCATTGTTGTATTCAATGTATTGTTAACTAGAATCTATAGATAGATGTAGTAGTTTTTTATAATTCTAGGTCTATAACTTAATTAAATTACTGAAACTAGATTATTCTATAGTATAGGCCTACCTCACTCCCCAGTGACGATAAAAGCTTTTGTTATTGTAAGATATTATTCCCAGCTGTATTTTGCATGAAATGGTATGATAGCCAACTAGGAATAGCCGAAGTAATAGGGCTATTCCCAACAGACGGAATAGCCTGGGCCATATACTAATTGCCTATAGAGTTATAGATTCTTACATTAATGCTTACAGTAGGCCTAATACTTAACTTATTAATATAATTGTTAGGTAGGCTACTATTTTACTTGTACAGGGATACCGGGCTAATAGTAATAGCATAGCATTTACTTAGAAAATGCAATAAAGTATTATTATTCAGCCTATTATATGAGCACAATGTCAGTTCCCCAAGGGCTAGGATCCAGCTAGTGGTCAGTTTCCTGGCCAAAAGAGCCTAGAGTTAAAGTCTTCAACCACTCCTAAATGGAAATGGCTAGAGAGTAAAGGTCCATAGAATTCACCATTCATAAAACACAAGCCCTAAGATATTTCCTAACGTGGCTGAAAAATATACCCTCACTTGGTGTCAGAACATGAGGGAGTGGAGTTGTTATGGTCCATCTCCTAACCATAAATCCAAACTACAGCCTGAGTGGATGAGACTCCCAGTTGTAACTGGCCAGAGTGAGAACAACTTGGCCAGTTAGGTTGAAGAAAAAGATTGACTTGGCTTATTTATGTGAAGCCCCTGTGGAGCAAAGGGCTGCAGCTATAAACTCTCCAACAGACTCTGTTTTAGGCATCTCTCTTTAATTGGACCCATGTAAAAAGTCCCAGTTTATCGTAGGCAAGCTCAGCCATCTTGTGATTGGACATACTGTCACTTCCTTTTATGGTGGTGGCACAAGGGTTAAACTCATCACAACTTACTTTGTCCAAACTTACTTAACATTATTGTCAAAAGATACCAAATCAACCCTTGTTTTGTTATAGAGTTAAAAGTTATTTGTGTGTATGCCAGTTATGGTTTTTAAAATAAAAGATTTGTTTCACAGATTCAAAGATGTCAGGATCTGAAAGCAAGAGAAATTCTCTTCATGTCCTTAATGCTTGGCTCAGTACTGCTGGCTACAGGGTTCACCATTTACAGGATGGCAGTTATCAGCAGGCAGAGTGCAGATTTTAGCTTTGGTATTCTGCTGCTGATTAATGCAGGTAATCATTCATACTTTAGTACTTTGTTAGTAATAAATAAAGATACAGTTTCATATTTAGGTATTCTACTGCTTGTTAATATTTTGGTATTTTAGTGCAGAATTATGCAGGCACAGTTTCAAATCTGCTGTTCTCCTGTACAGTTATAGTAAAGTTTGTTTTTGCTCGTACTGTTACCCCAACCTAATCTGATTACCGATATTGAAAATTCTCAATGTGATTCTGTGTGGTATACATGTTTTTATTTGCAGTGCCTTTTTAAACCTTCAACTACTTTGTATTAGTTTGAGTTATCTCATTTACTGTAGTCTCTCTTGAACACCTGTTATGTTTTGATTTTTGAAAAGTTGGCTGACTAACAAAGCATTAGAAATAGAGAGCTAAATCTAATGTGTAATAGGAAGCTGTGCATTAATGTAATAATATTGTAGTTAGTCTTCTTTCTTCTTCTTCGTTCTTAATCTTTAGTGTTGGAAGGGATTGAGCCTTATCTGCCAGAGGGTTTGACCTCGAGACTTTTTTTTTTCGAATTTATCAACCATGAGCTTTTGCCGACTCGACCACGCCTCCATCACAATTAAGTATACGTGTCAACTGGTATGCGCCATTGAGGCCATTGACTCCGATTTCAGCCTGCTTTTCTTTTTGGATTTGCAACCAAGAATAAAACTACAAGGCAGCAGTTGTTTGATTTTGGAGTTGTCTCTCCTAGAAGAGTGGCTGTCCCCAGCTAATGAGCCTCATCTGCCCGAGGGTTCGAACTCGAGACTTTTTGGTTTAGCAACCATGAGCTTTACTGACTCGACCACGCCGACTCTGTTGTAGTTAGGAAAATTCCCTTTTTGATCATGATGGTCCTTGGGGCAACTGACCCTGAAGTGCAGTTCACCTGTTTCTATGACCTTGGCATATGAAGGGATAGTGTGGTCAAAACTATGCCCTGCCACCTTTACTTTCCCTAATGTAAATTAGGTGCCCATCAGAGTTGGGTGGACTCAGGGACACTTTAATGACTTGAAACCAGATTAGAACTGGAGGCTTTCAGATTAGCAGTCTAGCAGCCTACTGCTAGGCCACGTTGTCACACATCTTATAGTTAACTCACCTTAATTTCTAGTTACAATTAATTATGCTAATTTGTTACAGGCTTCTGTATCTGGTTTACAATCGATGGTGTTCTGAGAGAAAGACCATCAGAGATTGTGATGCTGTGCCTAGCGACAATTATAATCTTATTTTATATAATCTTCAACTTCGCTTTGGGGGATAAGAATAGTATCAAACTGGTAAACTTTTTTGTTTTATTTATATCAAACTTGGTGGTTAGCATTAACCCAATGTTTTATAACTTAATCCTTGTATTAATTAACTTAAATCATAACCCTTACATGAATTTTACGGGGAAATCTTAATGCTTTTTTTTAAAGTCCGTTGGTATTGATGAAAGAATCAAATATTATCCTTTAGATTTACTTAAACCTCATATAACATCCAAACTATTCCAATTTTAATACTCAATGTTTTTTTAAAATAAATATTAGTTATACAGTGGCTTCATGTAACTTTTTTCAAAATTGTTTCTCGCAGGCAAGACTGATAGTGGCATCTATATCATGTCCAGGAATCACTGTAGTAGGACTGTACTGTGCTAGAAAATATTACCTTTCCAATCACCTCATTTTTCGGACTGTTGGTGCTTTTCAAGACATGCAGAATCTGTACAAGAATCTTCTCTATTTTCAAGATTTATTAAAATTTGATCTTCAAGTTGGGGTAATTTCTTAGGTTTTACATTTAGGTTTACCCTTTTCTTGAATGAACTTAGTAGGGTCTGACTTGAAATTAAACTATTCCCAATTTGGGTTGTCATTTCAAGTAAAACAGGAAGTATTGTTTTATATTTTTTAAATTTTTCACAGAATATTGCTTTCAAATTTCACAATTTTAAATTGTTTAAAGATTTTAAATTTATTTTAACTTTTTAAACAAACATTTTTTTTAAAAATCATTCTTTTGAACCATTTTGAAATGGAATGTTGATGCAAAAACAGTTCTAAAGTAAATAATTTTAATAGAAACAAACTGCATTTTAACAATTAGTTTGAATTGGACCATAAATATTGGGCTAAGAATGCACATTTTACTTTCAGTGCAGCATTATTGTTCTGGTGTTGGATGGGAATGATGTGGAGGTGCATGAGATTGTCATCTTGAGTTTGGGAGGAGCCTTCAAGATTGTTTGGTTCATTCTTGGCTATATCGTTGTAAGTCTTGATATTCATTGTGTTTTTTTATTTGCTGTGATACATTGAGGACTACTTTTTATAAAATGTTCATTTCTGTCAGTGTCTAATAGTCATTGGTTCACAGCTTCATTAAGATATGTTTATGAAAGCTACAAGTTTTGTAGTGAAATAGTAGAGTTCTGGTTTTGCCTTCAGTCACTGGCACTCTTTAAATTGCTACACTGAGTTCTAGGTAATAAGGGTAAAATACTCAATCCCAAGGGGCTATGGTTAAGCACTCCATAGAACATAAGCCCTACCTGTATGTCTATTTGTGTGGCTAGTAGAAAATCCTGGAAAAAGTCTAAAAGCCACATTTGGGTTTGAGAAGTCGTTATACAGTGTGTATGTCAGTATGAGAAAATGTATGAGATTACAAATTTTAAAAATTGGTAGGAGTAAAACGGGGTATACTTGAATGTTCTCGCTGCCTGAACTACACCCGCTCTATAGACCCTAAGGTTTGAATGGGTCTCGTTTTTATATCTGACTTAAAAGTAAAAGTTAAAGTAAAGTTCCCCTTCCAAACCTGATGGTCTATGGGGCAAGTGAAATGGAGTTCACCTTTTTCTGTGACCTCTGCATATGAAGAGATAGTGTGGTCAGCACTATGCCCAGCCGCCTTTACTTTCCCTAATGTGGGTTAGATACCCATCAGAGCTGGGTGGATTCAGGGCTGGACTACCGACTTGAACCCAGATTTGAACTCGAGACTTTCGGGTCAGCAGTCTAGCTCTCTACTGCTAAGCTACTCCGTCCCATATATCTGACTTACCATACCTGATTTTCTTAAATTACCACACCACTGACAAGCCCCACTTAAATACTTCTTCCTGGTATCCAATCACCCACCCCAGTCCACCACTTGTGATCAATATATATCTTTTTCTCTTATTTAAAAATGTCAGATGAGTAGAGAGATCAAGATTGGAGCCTGGGTTTTTCTTGCTTTAAGTCCTGTGGAGATTGCCTACATTATCTTCAAAATGTACGATGTAAGTAATTTTTAAATTTTAAAAAAATGTTTTTAGATACACTATTCACAATAGAATTTATTTACTTTGTGAATACCTTAATAAATTGCTATTGATAAGCAATTTCCTTTTTCTAAATTTTGAAAAATAAAAAAAAAATTTCTTCCTAAAAACAACATTAAAATTTACACATTTCAATTGAAGTTTGTAAATTAATTAGTTTTTGGCAATATTATATTGTTAAATAAAAATATTTTATAATAGCACATTACAATGATTCTTCTTCAAATAATTTCTTTATATTTCTCAGTTACCCATGAATCATCCCTTGTTAAAAAAGTCCATTTAAGAGTGTCTTGTTGAGAATGTCATTTGAAAATGTCCTATTGAGAATGTCCTTTGAAAATGTCCTATTGAGAATGTCCTTTGAAAATGTCCTATTGAGAAAGTCCTGTTTTGCAGGTTAGCACTTACATAGACACAGCCAAAGGCCTAGCAGCTGCCACCATTGTTTGTATTACAGCAGCTCTTATTGTGCGTCTGCTGGCTATTGTGACTGCTGTTTTTGTCTATAGAGGGTTTGGGAAAGGTCTAAAACAAAAATGTAAGTATCACCCCTCGTAAAGTGTTATTTTCTATTTCCTCAAAGCATCACTGTTTGTAATATAAACTGCATAATGACTAACTTTAGTTTATTTGCCTTATATCAGAAACAATGTAAATATAAGATTAGTAAAATTTACATACTTTAAAGTAAATTTAAAAATAAAAATATTTCATGTAAATACAATATATTTCATATTTGGCTTACAACCTGTTGAATTTTGTTGTAGTGTTCATGTCGCCAGTTGAAGATGGTGTAGGAATAGTGAATCAACCAACGGAGCAGAATTCACCAAGTAAGTTTTGAACAGGAGGAGAACCTCAACATAACTTGAATGTTTTATTTTTTTGTACAATCTCTATTTTTAGCATCAGCATGTACTGGACTTTTTTTTATGATAAAGACAACTTGTACTGAATATAAGTTTTTAATTTGATATTTGTAAGCAAAGTGGCCAAATGAAGTTATATTTTACAGTTGTTTATTTCATATAATGCTAGTGAGTTTACACATTAATTGGAAACAGTATTTGAGTGGTATTTTTTACATTGCTCTAAAATTTTTAATGTTTGTTAGTGTCTCTCAACATTGCCTCAAGAATTTTGTGTTAATTAGTTGCCAAATGTGCAAGATTTTATGCCATAATATACCAGTTTAGTTGCCCATTTCCCATATTATGTGTTGCTAATAAGCATATCATACATGTGCAAAATACATTAATTAAATACAATTAATTCCTCATACAGTTTTGTTACATCAGAACTTTTTGTATGTTGTACTGCCAATTTAATATTTTCATCTTCTTAGGATAGACTTAATAGATAATTATAGGGTGTAAAATGTTGTTCTTTCATTACCTTCTATTGAAGACAAGCAATATAACATATTTTAAGATAAACAATATAATATTATTCTGGTGATGAAAATAAGCTGTATTTTTAATTAATGTTTTGAATTAAAATGATGCTTAACTTAAACTTTTAATATGTTTTAACTTTGAACAAAACCTGACAAATTTTTAATACCAGGTTGACCTGTATTTTTATATCTATATATCTTTGTAGGAAGACCAACAGTCCCTTCAAATGCCGATTCTTTTATTACATAAATAATGTTTTTTTAATAAACTTTGCTTTTACTGTTTTTATGTTGGCATTACAAAAAGGGAAAAGTTTGTTTCAAATTTTCCTAACAGCTATTTCTCATCCATTCCCTAATATGCTCCATGTAATGTTATTGCTACATTCCACTGATAGTCTGTTGGCTCTGTATTAGTTCTGCCTTTTTGCTAGCTGTAACTAGCATAACAACTATTCACTGCTGTCTATTCTGTGATGGAAAACTTCCTGTATACATAAAGAACAACATTCTGTGATTGAAAACTTTTCTGTACTTATACATATAACATCCATTGTAGGCCTATTAGAAAAGGACAACTATTTACTGCTGTCTATTCTGTGATGGAACATTTTTGCTGTACTTATACATAATGCATTTATTGTAGGCCTATAGGGAAAAAAACATACTGCTATCCTGTAATGGAAAACCTTTTTTGTACTTAAATATAATGCATTTATTGTACTAACAAAGACCAATTTACCACTCTCTATTCTACAATGTAATTTGTCTGTTCATGTTGAACTGCAGCTATTTTTTTTTTTTTGTTAGACTAAAAATAATTTTTTTGTGTAATATTAAAGTAATTTCATAATTGTAAATGGCTATTAGAATAATTTTGTCAACAGTAGTCCCTTTATGAAATGAGTTAATTTTAAATAGCCAACCCAAGCCAACTTTGATAAATGAAACCTATGAGTTAATAGTAAACCGCAAATAAATTGTAACGACTTCTTTAGTAATAGAAAACATTCCATCTTTATTATTACCCATGTTTAAATGAAGGGGAGATAATATTTCTTTTTCTTTTATTCTTTTCTGTTCAAGCACATTTTTCAACACATATTTTCATTTTTAAATTTTCTACAGCTGTTTTATTAAGCTGAGCTAAAATTCAGTTGAACTACTTTATTATTTTGAACTATAAACCTATTGAAGTGCTTGATTAATTTCAACTAATAGTCTTTAAAACTATTTGATTCAGTTAAACTAAAGTTATATAAAACCGTCTTATTTTCTTGATGAGCATAAATGTTAAAGCAGCATAAATAATCCAGCAATTTTGTAAATCTTGATATATACATGTTTGCCAGATTTTTTAATATTGCTAATCTGCTGACCTGAAAGTCTCTATTTTGGGTTGAAGTTAGTAGAACATCCCTGAGTACACCCTGCTCTGATGTGTGCCTAAGTAATGTTAGGGAAAGTAAAGGTGGCTGAACAAAGTGTTAACCACACCATCCCTTCATGTTGTGCCGTGGTCAAGAAACATGAACTCTACTTCATCTGCCCAAAGGATGGCTCGTTCTAAAGAGGAATCTTTTTTTTTTACTTCTTTATATATATATCTATATATTATAGATGTTTTTTACAATAACATCATATATATTATTTTTATCATATATATACCAGTCATATGTATTGTATATTTGTGTATTAAGGATGCTGGGACTCTGGGAAGAATCCTGGTGGGTCACCAAAAAAAGTTCTGCAATATTAGACAATTCAAGTCAGATATTGTTGCTTTCCCACCCCCCCTGGGTCACCTGAACACTCCCCCACCCCCTTAACCTTGGTGTAGACATTATTTTTTTCTTATACATCTGTTATTGTGTATTGATAAAACAGCAGTATTTTATTGTAAAAGTATTTTGTGTAAATCAGATGATTAATATAAACTAACCAGCTTTAAAACTGATAACTGAGTGGGTGGGGATTAGTAATGTGTATAATTAACTTGCAGTGTGTGATAGGTTTCAAGAAGTTTTTAGAAAACAACTTTAATTAGCCCCTTCCGACACGACCTCGGTTATAGGGCCAGGTAGCTCTGAATAAGAAGGTGGGGAGGGCAGCTTTGTCAATAGATGTTTTTTTCTGTTGGTTTGAACTAACCAGTGTGAATAATGCAACAAAATTTCAGTATTTCATCCACAATTCAAGGGTAATTTGTTTAAAAAGGATGTTTATTTTTACAAACTGATATGTATTTTTTACTGATACAATCGTACCTTTGTGTTTGTTCATATACTAATGTATGTTGATCTATATTTTAAAATATTTGTAAACAGTCTTTTTTTTAAATTTTATATTTTAATATATTTTATAATATACTATCATATTTTAAAAAAATATTTGTATCTTAATATAATTGTCTTTGGCCATATTCTAAATTCACAATCATATACTGTGGACTTACAATAACAGTCATCCCAGGATGTCTACTTGAGCCCGGTGATTTCCTGAGCAGACTCAGCTTTAATGGGTACCTGTGAGGAATAAAGACTGTTCACCCCGTGCCCCCCTCAGCTTTAGTGTTCACCAACATTTAACAAACATGTAGACCTACCATGTTGTGAAAGCCAACAAAAGCCAACAAAAAAAAAACTTCCAGTACTTTGATGTTGGGATAGTGTGGCTGGGAAGCAGAGCGCTCAACTGCTAGCCCAAAAATCTCAAAGTCAGATCTTGGGTTCAAATCTATTGTACGTCCCAGAGTCCTCCCAGCTCTGATGGGTATCTGACTCATTTTAGGGATTTTTTCAAGATAAATCCCAACAAAAAGCTAACCCCCCGCCACCTAAAAAAAGATGATAAAAAGAGGATTTAAAACTAACCCTAACCCTAGAGGTGGATTAGGATTTTTTTTTTATGGCTTGCACTTATTCAAAATTCTAGACATCATTAATAGGTTTAGGTTGCGTGCATGCATTAAATTGCAAAAAGTGGGGGAGCTTAACTTTTAGCATTAGTGGCGGGGTTTATCTGGACAAGATCCAATTTCAGTAAAAGTCAAGGTGGCTGTGCAGACCACACTATCCCTTATTTTGTAGTGGTCACATAAAACATCACCGCTTTATCAGGTCTTAAAGGTTGCCTAGTGTGAACCCATGGTCAACCTAGTTAAAAGTCTGTAGTGTCTGCTACTGTGTTATTAAATAAAAATGAATATTATAGTTCCAAAACAAACACTCCTATTGGTACAGTGTAATTGTTTATTACATTAATTTATATTTTTTTTACACGAGTTAACATTGTCAAAAAAAATAAATAAAAAATAATATATTCTTGTGTTCTAGTCTGTGAAGAAAAGGAAGTTTTTATTTCATATGTCAATAACATTTTTAATTTGCTAGCATTTACCATTTCATGATTTTACCAAAAATATTTTTTTCTATTGTGTAAGTGAAATTCTGTTCCTGTTTGCATACATTTTTACACACACTTTAATTCCCTACTTTTCTACTCTGTTTTAACAAATGTATGATCTTTTAAAAAAAATAAAACTTGCCATATTAAATTTTACAGTCTTGATGCCTATATTTTAACAATTGTATTGTATGTTGTTTCCTTGACTTTTTATTCTAAAAATTAAACATTTTAAATGGATAGTTTACATGTCAGTTTTATTTTCTCAAGCATAGAGCAAGGCAAAGGTACAGAGTTTCTTCCAGGTAGAAGAAACCTGTGAAATTTCGTTCACCGCCAGCCCCCCCCCAGCCCCCCCCCCCCCCGAACGGAATGGAATTTATATAGAAAATATATACAGTGAGAGTCTGGAAGAAACACTGCAAGTGCATGTAATTCATTGTAAAGTTGCCATTGAAAAATATATAATTTTATTTAAGTAAATTATTTCACTGGAGTCTAGTTTCTTTCTGTACTTGGGCTGGATGTTTCAGGCATTTGCCTAGAGAAAATTCACTTCACTCTTCAGAAATAGAAATAACTTTAGAACTATAGATATTTCTTGGTAATTAAGTATTAGAACACTGTTTTAAATAGAGTATTTATCAGTGACAGAGTCGCTAGGTCGAGTGTCACCCGGTGCGGTACTTCGTGGTGTCACCCTCCCCCCCCCCAAGAAAGTATATACACATACACATATAGGCCTATAATTTAAATATATGCCACATACGCGTACATGTATGTGTATAAGCTTTTATCACTGCATATGGTGTTTATCTATAGCCTGTTAATAACATAGTTGTATGTAGCATTGTTTTCTCTATAGATAGCACGTTTACGTCATGGTGTCACCCCCACCCTCTTGTAATAATTGTCAATGTGTACCTAAAAGACAATTTAACTTGAATTAATCATTAATGGTACTGGCAAAAAGCATTTTTCTTGTTTACATTTAGCAATTGTTTGCATTGGTGTCACCCTCTAAATTGTGGCACCCCCTAAATGGTGTCACCCCCCTAAATGGTGTCACCCCCTAAATGGTGTCACCCGGTGCGGTCCTCACCCTCGCCCTCGCTATGCCTCTGGGCACGATAGCTAACCGAAAAGTCCCGAGTTTAGACCCCTAGCAGATGAGGCCTGTAGTGTTAGCTGGGGACGGCAACCCATCTAGGAGAGATAACTCCGAGATAAAATAAACAACTGCTGCCTTGTAGTTTGTTCGTGGGTGGACAAAGGCTATGGAAGTTAATCCAGAAAGATTAGCAGGCTAAAGTTGACC